TCTTTTTACTCGTTTGTCAATTCACCATGATGGTCAAGCAGGTGAGTTGGCCTGTTAAGCCCTGAAAGTCACATATCAGCCTGGCAAAATACCATCTTTAAACATTACCATTCAGAAAACAGGAACTATTGTCGAAGTAACATGCCACCCATGAGGCAGAGAATGGATCTGGCAGAGTAACTTTTAGAAGACAATTCAACTTTCTCAGCGGGATCTGGACTTTAAACTGGTGACAGACGCACAGGCAGCAAGAGGAATGCCCCACTCAGATCTTGTCAAAGAACGTAAACAAAAAACATTTCTACAATAAAACAGTGAACTTGTATATACGAATTCCCTTCAAGGAAAGGAATTCATGCACTCAAATGCCAGCAAAATATGTGGCAAATTAGGAACATCACGCTAAGAAAAGCTGGTGGCTCCCACAGTAACTGGTACTATAAATTACAAATGTAAATTCCATAAATGGTTAAAACTTTAATACACTTACCATTACAGGATATGCTATGATGTTTTCATTATTAGCTTCAACAAGAGTTTCATAATAAGTTTACCGACACGTTACTGACAATAAATATTCTCTAAATAAAGTTCCACGAACATAGAATATCAACTAGAATATTACAATCAAAATCAAGTTCTTCCACAAATTCCTCAAACCATTTACGTATCATTAAAATTTATGTCCTGACGGAGAGGATAACTTGTAACGAACAATGAGAGCTCTCTTACCAAATTTCATAAAACCTGATAAGGCTATACCCAAAATACATTTCGCTTCATGCACTTGTACTTTCTCAGGCGCAGTTCTCACATGGCATTAGTACCTTCACTGCAATATGGCTTGTAACTCCTTCTTTCCCCCAGAGTTGATAGAATGTCATGGTAAAGTGGATAGCATTCCTGCATCATATTCAGGAGGTCCTGGCTTCAAATCTCGGATTGGAGATCAGCAAGCTCTACTTAGGTTTGTTACTGTTTTCCTCAGTCCCCCATGAAAATGCAGTGGTGGTACCTCAAATTACGCTATGACCACTTCTTCCAGGCCCTTAACAATTCATATTTTTGTTAACTGTCCCATAATTTGATGCTATATAAGAAGCCAATGAAGGCATCGTTAAATCTTGTAACTAAGATTAAGACATCACCTTTTGCAATTACTTCTAATAATGTATGTCTTACTGCCTTTCTCTTCTCTGTGACAAAGTCTTCTGTACACGTGTCCGTGTCCACATTTTATAATTACAACAAATCAAAATGGGGTACAAAGCCATAGGAGAATTTCTGACTATTTACATACGAATGTGGCCGCGCCATGAATCAGGCGGTATCCTTCTCACCGCGGAGGCCCGGGTTAAATACCATGATGACTTCATATGAGATTCGTGGTAGGAGAAGTGGCGCCAGAGCAGGTTTTTCTCCGTGCCTCTTCTGTTCTCCCCCGCTAACCCATACTCATCCATCACCATCCCCTGCGAGGTGCGATAACCCTGACCAGCAACACATTATCACACCTCGCTGGGTACTTGGCTGGTTATAAACGAATCCTTTTATGAACTAGGGCTTGCGCGGGTGTGTGGACAAAGGCGCGAGATAGCTCGTTAGGGCAGGCTCAGGCAGTGCCATAGCTCAAGCGGTTAGTCTCTGGCTTCCCATCGCTGCG